GGTGCCTGGGCCTGGCTGGCCAGCAGCTGAGGGCCAATGTGGCTGCCCAGATCTAAGCATTTCGTCTGTGATCAGTATTCCTCTGGACAGTGGATCCTGCCTGAAGAGAGGATACTGGTTGGTGCTCTGGACCTGGGTGGGGCCTCCACCCAGATCAGTTTCGTGCCTCAGGCCCCCATCTTGGACCAGAGCACCCAGGCTACCTTCCGTCTGTACGGTGCCAACTACAGCATCTATACTCATAGCTACCTCTGCTATGGGCGAGACCAGGTCCTGAGGAGGCTCCTGGCAGAGCTGGCACAGGTTAGGCTTGTATTTGAAGGGTGGAGACGTGGGAAGGCATGGGGTAGAGTGGCAGACTATTGCAGGGCTTGGGGTTCATGCCCTTTCCTCTCTCTGCAGAGAAGCCCAGTAGCCCGGGTCAGACACCCATGCTACCACAGCGGCTACCAGGCCACACTGCCACTGGCGCCACTGTATGAGTCACCCTGTGTCCACACTACAGATTCCCTGAACTTCACCCAGAACATCACAGTTGAAGGGATAGGCAACCCCGGGGACTGTGTGGCAGCCCTCCACCGTCTCTTCAATTTCTCCAGCTGTAAGGGCCAAGAAGATTGTGCTTTCAATGGAGTCTACCAGCCTCCTGTGCATGGCCAGTTCTATGTAAGCACGCCCACCAAGCTCTGGCTTCCTCCTGGGGCCCCAGGTGCCCTTCTGACCAGAGGGGCTCCAAGGACAGGTAGAATAGGAGGTGCCCCGATGCCTCCTGGGGATTCCAAAGCTGGAGGGAATACCTGGCTAAAGTGTCCGGAGCCTCCTTCAGGCTGACAGAGCATTCTCTACTTCCCCCAGGCATTTTCCAACTTTTACTACACTTTCCACTTTCTGAACCTCACCTCCAGGCAGCCGCTGAACATTGTCAATGACACTGTTTGGAAGTTCTGCCAGAAACCTTGGAAACTGGTAGGTGACTCTGGATGCCGGCCCTCGCCCCCTCTCTATACCTCACCATGGCAAGTAGGGCTTCTGGAGTCTTATTGGGTTTTCCTGGACAGAGATTTGTGGTGAAGCCACATTTGGGTACCAGGACTGGGGAGGAAAACACTGTGGTAGGGAGAGTGGCTTGCTTTGGGTAGAAAGATGTGCAGGTCCCTGTTGGGATCAGCTTCTGGTTGTTATAAGGTTGGCCACCCCACCCACTCCTAGCTGGAGGAGAGTCTCCACCAGGAATTAAGGAGGGGCTGTTAAAAACATTTAACACTCTCCTCCTGTCTGGAAACTGTTTGGATGTATGGAGGCCCCACTATAGCTGGAGGTGGGAGGAGAGTGCTAGGAGGCCTTGGGGCCTCACTTACTCATTAGCTTCTGGAACTCAAGGTGGAAGCCAGCTACCCTGGACAAGAACGCTGGCTACGGGACTACTGTGCCTCAGGCCTGTATATCCTGGTGTTGCTGCTAGAGGGCTACAAATTCAGTGAGGAGACCTGGCCCAACATCCAGTTCCAGAAGCAGGTGACTGCCACCTAGAGCCTCAGCATGTCTGGTTCAGGGTGAGAATGGGATGGGGCCTGGGACAGCCACCCAGCAGCCCTGAACAGCTGTGTGTCTCACAGGCAGGTGGCATGGACATTGGCTGGACACTGGGCTACATGCTGAACCTTACAGGCATGATTCCCGCTGAGGCACTGACCCAGTGGCGGGCTCAGAGCTACAGCATCTGGATGGCTGGAGTAGTATTTGCAGTGCTGACCCTTTCGGCCATTCTAGGAGCTGCTGCCGTCCAGCTCTTCTGGACCCAGGACTAGATAAAACCAAGCTGAAACAGATCACAGAAGCAACACATCTAAAGCAATTCAAGTGTTGGGATTCAACAGCAACAACATAAATGTTTGCGTTGTCTACCTTGTGAGCCACCATCAACTGACCTTAAGAAAGAAAGCCTTTAGCACACAGGACCTGCTGGACACACCCTGGATGTCTGTCTTCACGAACCCCAGACAATCAAAGGGTTCCAGTCCATCGAGCAGACCAAGAAGACCAATTCCTGACAATACAGGCTTCCCTCTGCCCTCAGGGTGGCACTGGCTATGGGGTCTGCAGTCTTCCAAAAGATGGAAACAAGAAGGGATCTGGGGAGGGACAGCTGTGGGACTAAGGCTACCTCCGAAGGCTGTGGCCAGCCCAGCAGAGACCCCTGATTCTTCACTAGAATCAGAATGGACCAGACAGCCAGAATCCAGGTCTGTGGGCCAACCCAGCTTCCCTCTCCCAAAAGCTTTTGGTTGCGTCCTCTTTATCATCAATCCCAGAAGGTAGACCACACAGGGATGAGGGGAATAGTTTTTGTTTGTTTAAATTAAAACTGCTCTTGTCACAAAATTTATTGCTAGTGCTGGTCTCCTGGCTTGGGTAGGGCTTCCACATAGGCCCCAGCTGGGACCACAAAGCACTTGGGGAAAATGCCGATGCAGCCATCTCGGTGTCCCTCCAGCCATGCTTCGTCCACTGTGGAGACATGTTGGATGGTGTAACTATTTACAGCAAAGACCGAGCCCTAGAGAATAAAGCCCCCACCGGGCCTGGGCAAACCAGAAGTGTTGGGGAAGGGCAGTCTTGTGCTACCTTCACAGAGAACATCCACTGTGTCTCCTCGGTGGAAGTCCAAATCCTCAGGCCTTTGGGCTGAGTAATCATGTTGAGCTATTACTTGGTAGAGGACTGGTCGGCCCCAGGCCCCCTGTGGCAGAAGGGTGGGCTTCAGGGGTGGCACAAGAGAGGGGCTTCCCCTCCAACCACCTGGGCTGCCAACAGTAGGCATCACAGTCTCCCCGCTGGCTCACCCGGCACTGGAGGTGCAACCCTCTTGGGCCCATGGCCACATTCCTCCACACACTCTGCAGTGATTCCTCCGTGGAGATGTGGACCCAGAACTTCTCCTCTCCTGGGGCTTGGTAACTGCAAAGGGAGTTTGGGCTACAGTATGTAGAGGAGTGTCTGGTGCCGCCCTCCAGTCCTGGCCCTTAATTCCAGTGGCTGCCTAGGATCTTAGGCATAGAGCTAAGGAGGCCTTAGCTTTGGTCCCTTCCTAGGCCTGAAAAGTGACCAGTTCAGGACAATCCTCACTTCCTTGTACCTCAGATCCACCCTTTTCTCCTGCAGTGTAGGGTCCCTTCCCTCACAGCTTTCTGACTCACCTGAGCTGCCCCATATGGGCCTGGTGAAGGAGGGCTTGAGCCAACAATGTTCGAAGACTGGAAAGGTCAGTATCTCTTGGGGCCTTAACGGGCACAGTAAAGTGGCACTGCACAGTGACAGTCACCAAAGATTCAGGGTCCTTTGCAGTTGCTCCCTGAGGACAGGATGGAAAGAGGGTTGTATAGCCTTTGAAGGCAGGGTGGTCCTTGGACCCACGGGGTCAGAGTAGAGGTTCAACTGAAAGCAGGAAGACAGAATCTGAGCTAGGGCTGTCCTTGCCCCAAGTGGCTGGTGAGGAGGGATTGGAGAGCAGAATAGCTATTACCCCAGCTCCTGAGGAGTCTCCAGAGGGGTCCGGGGCAGGCCGTCCAGATTCCAGCAAGTCGCAGCTCATGGGACCACCTTTCCACAAAGGAGACACTTTGAAGTAGACGAGTGACTGGCAGGTAGCTGTCCCTTGCCCCAAACTTCCTTTAAGGGACAAGTGTCCATGTCCCAGCTCTCCTGAGGCAGCTCCTTCTACCCCTATTGCTCAGGATCCTCTTACCTGTGGATGGAGGAGACTGATGGCCGACCTGTTCTACCCGGGGCCTCTGCAAAGGAAGACAGGAGTAGCAGGACCTCAATAGTGTCGGACCTTGCACACGCCATCTGCAGCCATCTGCAGCCATCTGGACATGTTTTACTTAGTTGGTTTTGTTACATCTTACATTATGCAGAACAATTTTTGTATAAATGGTTTAAAATTTATTTATGCAAGATTTGAATGCACACCAGTGTTTTATTATTTAGATTGCCAACTTTCCTTCAGGTGGGAGAGCACTTACCCTGGACTTCATCAACATAAGAAGCCCGTCTACACATGTGCCCATTTGTGACAGGGGCTACGACCTTCCACTTAAAAGCACGTTTAGCTGGATGTTCAGAGCCTACTTGGTATGTCAAGAAGTTACACGAGCATGTTGTTGGTAAGTGCAAAGCATAGACCAGGTAAAACACTTGGCCAAATTTCAATAGAAAGTTCACCTTTTCCTCAAAATCTTACAATTCAGACTCCAGCCTTTACACTCAGGAGTGTTTTGCTCCAAGCATGAGCTCTTGTATTCCATCTGCATATCTAATTTATACCATGAGTCAAGTAGAATAAATGTGCCATAGCCTCCTTTTCTTTCCCCCTCCTTTGAAGTGTTCAGTTCTCATTGAAGCTGGTAACCTGGCTACTCTCTAATTGTCAAGTTCTCCACCCATAGAGCCACTGTTGTATGGTGGTGTTTCCTAAACGTCCCCTGATGTGGTTTTACCATTGTTGGATTTGTATAAACAATATACAAAAATCCCCCCCCAGACACAAAAGAGTGTAGTCCTGGGGTAGGACCTAGCATATAGGGAACCTGAGGTGGTGGATCTGGGCCCAAGGGAGCAACTCCTTGGGTTCTGTCCTGACACAGCCAGTGGTCAAGGATGTAGTCTGGGAGCTTGGCCAGCAGGAAGTTTGGGAGTAAATGCGTGGTAGGCCCAGACCCTAGACACACCTTGGGACAAGGCTGAGTCTAAAACAGGTTGCCTAGTGGTCTGGTGGAAGCTTTACCTCAGCCCCTGGCATCCATATACCCAAAAAGTCTGGAATGTTCTGGTAAAAGCTTCACCCCAGCCCCTGGCATCCATATACACAAAGAATCTGGGATGTTCTAGTGGAAGTTCCACCTCCCCTATCTTTCTTCAAATCCTGCTACATCTCAGAAAGCCTGCCAAATGATGACACCCCCCACACAACTCAGAGATGCTAAAGACCACTCCCACGGGCTATTTAAACTGTCCCCCAGAAAACAGATATGTGGTTTTCCAGTCTCTCTTTTCTGTCTCTTCTCTGGAGGCCTGGAAGGCCATCCAGGAGCATTGTATCCATTAAATGTGGGCTTTTTCTAATTTAGTTTGATTTGGTCTGATTTGGATTGCTGCATTGATGGAGAGGCTTATCGGGGTACAGAAACTTTTCACCTAGCACCACTGGGGAGTCAGCCTGCTTCCCAGGCCTTCAATTGATTCCCAACTCCAGTTTCTCCATTGACTCTGAGAAGCCCAGGACAAACTCTAAATGATTGCCCAGCCTCCGGTGCCCTGAGTTGGCGAGTAGGTGGAAACCTCTAGCCTCTGTTGAGCACTCATGGTGACTGTGGTTTGTGAACTATTTTTAAAGGGAGACTGTGGAAAAGCAATGTGTGGCCCTTGTGAGGTTTACAGCTCAGTACAGGAGCTGGTAGATGCAGGTTTAAGCACCTGGGGATTCTGAGCTTAGCTGTGAAAGGCTGCTGTTAAGGACATTGAACTATTGGATTGGGATGAACTGAATACTGGACAGAGCTAAAGTGGAGGTGACTGTCCTGTGTCCTGTAATAAGGCTATGTCAAACCTTCTAAAGTGCTCACCACTGGCTCTTAGGGCTTCAGCCTGTCAGCAAGGGGTTCTGCCCAGCCACTCTTCACACAGGCACAAGGGGCTCTGATGGCTTACAATGACTAGGAAGGAGGTTGGCAGAGTTTGGGCCTTCAGACATGTCTTTCCCCAGACTATCATGTGATGTGATCGCTGTATGTCCAACAGAGGCTCCAACTTAATGCTGACAGCCCCCATCTGGTCCCTGTGGCGGGTCTGAGTGTGTGCCAGTGAGTTGGTCCTACTAGTCTATCCCCTGGGGTCAGGTCACTATGGATGACTCTTACCATATGCCTGGCCTGGCTGTTAATGAGGCTGTCTGACCTCTCAGAAGCTTACACTTCCTCTTTGGCTCATGACAAGTGAATGAATGGAAGTGACCAGCCATCCCTGCCAGGTCAGAGCTGTCCCTCAGAAGGAGTGGGAATGTGGTAGATGCCAACTCTTTGAAGGTCTAGGTTTTGGCCCATCTATAGGAGGAGGGGTACCCTCCTCCTCAAATCTTTCCCACCATGTGGCTCAAGCCCTTGGCTCAGCCTGCCTATGCCTTGTTTTCCTTATCCATGCAAAACCAGGCAAAGATAGGCCTGGGTCTGTTCCATCCCTACCCACCTACCTGCTGAGGCCAGCCATCTGTATTGTGGTTGTCAGGGATGACAGATGCCACCACCTAGTGAGGGCAGGAATACAGCTGGATTAGGGCCCCATTGAGTCTTCTCCTCCAGGTCCCCAATTCCCAGTACCTCCATGGCTGTAATCTGCAGGGTATGGGCTGCCTACAACTAGCTCAAGACTGCTAGACCACTACAGCTTAAAAAAATAAGGTATGACCAAGAGAAACATATACTACTAATATAACTCAATTTTAGTACAACTTTTTAAATATTTTTGTATCTTTTAACAGTGGTCCAAGTGAACTCTGATGGGTTCTCAAGGACAGTGTTTTCTCCACCTATACTCAGTCCACCTCGGGGGACATTCAAAGGCAGTGTGCCCCTCAGGCAGCTACATGTGGTCACGTAGTGTTGATAGGTACAGCGTGAGTGCTGTGGCAAATGACCATAGGTGTGCGGCCAGCCCAGGGACCATCAATACAATATCAAGTTGGCCCGTATTTGTGACACTGCAAGTGACTGTTTTCTTGAGTTCCTCTCTTCTATTTGGAGGTGAGAGACTCCACCATAGCCTGTGGTTTAGAGGGCCTGATATGGCCTAGACTGGCCATACACATCCCTTCTGGGACCTTGCTGTCTGTAGCAGAGATGCAGAAACAGAAATACACGAAGATGCACAGATACTGGGAGCAACTGAAGAGTGGAGTCAGAGGGGCACCACTGGGGATTCCCAACCAGAAGCTGGGGTGCCTTCCTTTAAAGCTGACTTTTGGTAAGTTCTGCCTCGGGGCGTACAGCCTCGTGTAAGAACACCCACTCCCAGCCCTAGGAGCCTTGTGCCCACTCTCTACCTGTCTGACTTTCAAGTGGCCTAGACTACACCCAACTGTCCTCATAAACACACTGGATGTCCACTGCAGGAGCCACCACTCCATGTGCTTGACATAGGCTACAACTGCCATTTTGGCAGCTGGGTACCCAAGCTAGGAAACACCCGAGTGCTTTACCTTAGCCTTGCCGAGGAAATCCATGGGCTTCAGGTGCTGTAGGTATTGCCTGGGAGGCTGGAAGACTTCACCCTTGGGGACTTGCCTTAGCTGCAGGGGTACCTGTTTCTGGAGTGGAGTGTGTAAACCTGGGTGGCCACAGCTGCAACAACCCCAAGTCTTGAAGCAGAGGGGCTGCTTGGGCTCCCATCATATGTGACATGCTACAGGAAGTATGGGGCACCAGACTACTTCTCTCCCTATACTATAGTTAGTCTTTTGTTTTGTTTTTTGAGACAGGATTTCTCTGTGTAGCTTTGGAGCCTATCCTGGCACTGGCTCTGTAGACCAGGCTGGCCTCGCATTCACAGAGATCCATCTGCCTCTGCCTCCCAAGTGCTGGGATTACAGGCATGTGCCACCAACGCCCGGCTATAGTTAGTCTTGAGGGCATAAGCTATAGAACTTGGCTCCAAACCAGTGTGATTGCCACCTGCCCTCCTCACCTGCACTTGGTCCAGGGCAGTGTCCAGGATACCTTGGGCCCCCTCTGGCCATTTGGAAGTTGCCTCCACTAGAGTATCAGCAGCCTTGGCCCAGAGCCCTGCCTGGCACTCTGCTGATGCCATGTTGTATAGGACCTAGGAACAAGGGCAGACATGACAGCAGGGGCCAGGCCCGCAAGATGGTCCTCAGCTGAACTCCCCAGTCACAGTAGCTGGAGGTTCTTCTGTATGTTCAGCTGCCATAGGAGCTATAGGTAGGGACCAGGCCACCTGCTGCCTAGCTGGCTCAGTTGTCAGATGCCAAATGGTCATTCCCTGTTATCTCGTTTACCGCTGGCAGTGCCATGTTTTGCTTTGGGCTTTTCTACTTGAAACAGCAGAAGTAGCTCTCCCTTTCAAAGTGTCCCCTTGTGCTGCTGCAGGGGCATGGGGGGGTTGGAGAGATGGCTCAGTGGTTAGAGCATTCATTGCTTTTTTTTTTTTCCCCCAGAGGACTTAGGTTAGATTCCCAACTCTCACATGGTGGCTCACAACGTATTCCCTTGGCTAATGCCCTCCTAATTCTATACTCTGCCATCCCCATTAACTGAGTCTAGAGTATGTCTAAGGGTTCCCATTGGCTGTCCAGGGACATTCAGAACCCTACATTCAGAGCATTCTCATGGGCAAAGTGGACTGAGTTAAGGCTACCCTACAGCCCCAGTGACAGGCGATGATGCTGGGAGCCCATCGTTCCTTCATCCTGGGGAGGTACATACACAAGAAACCCAGCTTTGCTACAAGGAGAGAAACACACCCACTCTCTCTATGGCCCCCCTGTTCCTACTGTTTCCTCTGGCTCAGCTGCAGGTACTGCTGAGCTAATCCCCCTTCCCCCAAACTTGTCTGTCACCTTGTCATGATCTTCAATTCTGTCCTGCTTTTCTCCCACATGAGCCCATGCTGGCTGGCTCCAAAGTATGGAAGTAGTCTGCTCCCACAACTGCCACTCCAGCCTCCAATCAAAGAGCTGGGGGATTTCAGGGCTCCAAAAGTCTTTAGCTAGACAGGACACCTCATTTCACATGGCTGGCCATGTGAAATGGCCAGTAACACCAACATAAAGGTGACAGCACTTGGCAACACTCTAGACTTTATCCTAGGACTCCAGCCAGGACCCCAGACTACATGATAGGACCTCTATTGCAACCCAGTGCCATGGCAGAACCTTAGAACTTCCATGAACCCTAGATCCCCCAACAGAACCCCAAGCCTCAGTGACACTGCTTGGTGTCTGAACTCTGCACACATGAAATGCCCACTCACCTCCCAGGCTTGCAATTTGAAGTGCAGACCCAGTTGTGTGTAGTCAATGGCAGCATTGCCCCTCAGCTGTGCCAGGGTCAGCTGGAAATCAGACACAGCTTCCTGGAACCTGTGAGCATCAGGGGCCTCTCAATAGCCACAAGGGAGGAGCTGAGCCTGTGAAGGATGACTTTGGGGTACCCCACCCATCCTCCCCTCGGTGCCAGCGTTGGGAGGTCTGAAGGCAATAGTGGTCACCTAGAAATCAGAACTCCATGGGACGAGTTCAGACCACCATGCTCAACGGAAGTTTACTGTCCAATTCCACTTAGCCTCCCAGGCATTGCTCTCTTTACCTGACAGGGACCACTGCTTACACTTCCAAACCTCTTCCCACCATCCTGGGCTCTCCTTTCTTGCCTCTCAAGCCCAACCTTATGGGACCTCCTCTGATCTCTGAGCTTCCAACTCTGGATGGAATCTCTGTCCCCCTCTAGATTCTCCACGTCCTCAGTCAGTTCTCCTAGGCTAATTGGAGCCTGCAGCCTTGACTATCCTTCCTCCCCTACTCCCCTTAGAAAGCTGGGAGGCCATCCACATCCTTGGATAAGCCCTTGTTTTCACATCTGCAAATTGGCTGTAGACACAGTGTTCTCACTACTAGAGACATGAATCTTGACAGAGACAGGACTGTGGGGGGCAGGGGCCAGCCTAACCAGAGCATCCTCATCCAGGCTGGAGGGGATCCAGAGGAGAGAGGGAAGGAAGTGGGTGCAAGCATTGCTTTGCAGAGACAAAGAACCATCCAATAAGGGACAGGGGATCCTGCTATGCTCACCTCTCCAGCTGGAAATTAGCCACTCCCCGCTGGAAGAAGCCAACAGCCATGCAGGTATCCTTGGTCACTGCTTGGTCAAATGCCTAGGGACAAAAATGCTTGTGGAACAGCAAACTCAGTAACCCAAGAACCCAATGCCACAATGGAAATGGAAATCTGTCAACTGATGAGAGCTACTGGCAGCAGGTGCCTGCCAAGCTAGAGCCCAGATAAATGTGTCACTGCATGGATTTCTCAGCTGCCCCAAGCACCTCAGGATAATAAGCTCAGGGTGTATCACTATGGCATAGAAACCCATTTTGTCCACAGAGAGCATACAGCTAAAAGAAAAAATGCTCCAAAATGTGAGTAACAGTTATCTCTGGGAGACAGGATTGTGTAAGACTCTTGGCTTTTTTGTTTGTTTGTTTGTTTGTTGAGACAAGGTGTTTCTCTGTAGTTTTGGAGCCTATCCTGGAACTCTCTGTGTAGACCAGGCTGACTTCGAACTCACAGAGATCTGCCTGTCTCTGCCTCTCAAGTGCTGGGATTAAAGGTGTGTGCATCACCACCGCCGGGTGACTTTTGGTTTTTTAAAATCTCTTTTCAGGGGCCAGAGACAGTTGTTCTTCCACAGGTCCTGAATTCAATTCCCAGCAACCACACAGTATCTCACAACCATCTATAATGGGATCCAATGCCCTCTTCTGGTGTGCAGGCAAACATGCACACACAGCACTCACAAACATAAAATACAATAAATAAATATTTTAAAATCTCTTTCAGCAGGTCACGCAAAATGGCACACTAGATATCTATTAGAATCAGAACATCAAAGTCCTCTGTGTGCAGTCAGCACAGCTACTTAAACCAGACACAGAAATGTGTGTCCCCAGAAGGGAAAGCAGCCATCAATTACACCTGATGTAGTTTCCTGATACCCAAACTGGCCAGGTGGACTGACTGTTGAACTGGATCTGACTTGAAATTGTCACATGCCACAATCAACTTGGAAATGGGATGGCCGCTTGCAGCTACATCTGACATTACAAGCTTCACACTGACAGGTTGAAGTGTAACCACATCACACCTGCAGCCTTAGTTTTCCTTATTGCAGTTGTATCACCTGCTTCGTAGAGTTTCCGGGTGTAACTGATATGCCTAGGCTTGTACACATATTAACTTTATTGACTTAAGGCAGTGCCTTTTTTTTGTTCTTATGGCAGAGCATTTCCAAACCCCCTCTAGTTACAGTGTGAGGAGGTGAGCACTGGATTGGCCTAACATATGACTCACTGTTGAACTACCTGGTAACAGACCATTACATTTCCTTTCCTGAACAATAACCTTTTTATTTTGTCTTGTTTTTTGTTTGTATTGGTTTTTTTGTTGTTGTTTTTGGTTTTTGGTACTTGGCTTCTCTGTATAGCCCTGGCTGTTCTGGATCTTGCTTTGTAGAGTAGGCTGGCCTTGTACTCAGAGATCTGCCTGCCTCTGTCTCCTTAGTGCTAGGATTAAAAGCAGGCACTACCATGTCTGGGTTGAACAACAACCCTTTTTTTGTGTTTGTTTTTTGAGACAGGGTTTCTCTGTGTAGTTTTGGAGCCTGTCCTGGCACTCACTCTGTAGACCAGGCTGGCCTCAAACTCACAGAGATCCACCTGCCTCTGCCTCCCAAGTGCTGGGATTAAAGGTGTGCACTGCCACCACCGTCTAGTGAACAACAACCTTTTAATGAAGAAGCAATTCTGAAGTAATTGTAGGTGCAGATGCATAGTAAGAAATAATAAGAGAGCTGGCAAGATGCCGCAGTGGATAAAGACACTGCCACCATGCCTAATGACCTGAGTTTGATCACCAGGTAGTCCCACATGGTGGAAGGAGAGAATTGACTCCCACAGGTTCTATCCTGACTTACACAACCTGTAAATAAATAATAATTTCAAGAAAGAAATTATAGAAGAGACCATCTCTGTACAGCCCAGTCCTCCTGCTCTCACCCTTGGTGTCTGGGTGTTTCTGTCTCTCATCTTCGTGGTGTCCAGGTAGCTCACTACCATGTGAACGTCTGAGTTGGAGGTGGGGCACTGAGGGTTTCTATCACACACCCAGGAATAGCTGTCACTTTGATGAACATGAAGCAGGGGATGCCCTGACTGCCTCCTTTACAGTGTGAGACCCTGGGTAGTTCTGCTTTGAGAAGCAGAAAGGCAGACATGGGAGTGCTCAGAACCGGGAAGACAGACTGTGTGTGCCACCATCACCACAGGCAGAGTCCCGGCCTGTTGACTCTGACCCAACCTTCAGCCTGCCTTCAGGTATGTCCCTCCCTCAGTCCTGATAGCCTGGCCTAGTACAGGACTGATGCATTTGGCCCATGTGGCTGTGTGCTCCCTGTACCCCATTCTGGCCACAACTAAGAGAGGGGTCTCCCAACCACAAAGCTCCTACCTGCTTCAGGCAGTCACTAAGAGGGAGCATTATTAGTGAAACAATCTCTAGGTAAACGACGAGGTAAAGGAGCAGGAATTCCTTCCCCTCCAGGTGACTATGGGGTGGAGAAGGGCATCCTTTTCTAGGGTGTCCACTGGAAGATCAGGATTGGCCGGCAGTCACGTCTTCATTTGCATTCCCCTACAGGCCTCCACCAGGGATGGGGTCTCTGTCACCAGTCCCGGGGTCGCTTACCCGTAATGCTGCCTCGGGATCCCCGGCCATCAGGTGCACGCAGCCCATGTTGAAGTAGATCTTGGCCGGCGGCTCCCGGACGTCTGAGAAGAGGCACAGCGCGCGGTCCCAGTCTTTGCGTGCCACCGCCAGTACGCCCTGATGCCAATCCCGTACCTGATCCGCTAGAGAGCTCATGGAGCTGCTCTGCTGCGAAGGAAGTTAGCGAGTCGAGCCCGAGAGCGCGGGGCGGGAGGAGGGTGTCCCACAGAAACTGGGGGGCTGTGGGCCAGGGGCAAGGCTTCCGGGCCAGGACAACAGAGAGCTGTGAGCAGCTGGTGAGACGCGACTAAAGAGCGTACAAGACAACTGGAGTTGATTCATTCTGTGGTGGAGACGCACAAGGGGGCCCGAAGCCCCGCCCCCGATCCAGGCCCCTCCCCGAAGCCCCGCCTTGAGCCACTTAACCTCAGTCGCCTGGGCTGGGGACTGGGTTTCCGACCACATAGCCACGCCTCTTCATCCTCTAGGACTATCTGTCCACTCCCTGGCCCAGCTCAGTGCCAATAAGGCCACGCCCACCTCCGTTTGGCCACTCCCTCTCATCTACCCCGCCTCCGAGTTCTTGCCTCCCGCCCGATGTGACCGCGCCCCTTACTCAAGCCTAGCCCACCATATCTTTCTCGCTACAAGCTCAGAACTTCAATGGGCCCTGGAAGTGTTTAGGGGAAAGCCGTCTGGAAGCGCTGCAGCGGTCGGGCCAAGATTTCTGAGACAAGCGTGGACAGTGCACGGCAGGGCTGCCAACGCAGAGGTCAGAGACTTTCAGGCCAGTTGGGCAGCCTGAAGGATAAACAGCCCAAGGATTGTCAGAGCTCAGCCCCGCCCAGTGCATGTCCGATGGGCTTGATGGCTCAGGGGGAGACAAGCAGGGCAGACTGGCTGCACTGTGACTAGCCAGGGCCTTCAGAAGCCGGGTTGGGGGTCTCAGAGTCAAGGGTGGTGCAGCCTGCAAGGCCTTCCTCCAGTAATGGGCACTGGCCTGGCTGCTCCTCCCCCTTGCTACCCTGGCTGTAGGAGCTGGGTCTTCTTCCAAGTGCCTTTTGCCCTGTGTGACCACACTGTCCAGAAAAACTACCCGTTGGACAGGGCTTGTGTCTTGTATAGACAGGTGGGACGGCCCAGTATGGACTGTGCAGGACACATGGAGGTTGATGTCTACCTTCAAACACCCTGCTTGGCTGGGGCGCATCCATGGTGTGTGTCATACACCTTACCTAAAGCTGCTGGTACAAATCCCACCCGAAATTTTCTCCCTGACTAGGTGTTGCAGCACCACGACTTGGCCAGGTTGACTCACGCAATTAAGCACCACAGCACCCAACCCTAGTAGCTAGGATCAACTGTAACTTGAGCCCATTCACCTTCCCTGCCTGGTTGTTGGTCTCCTGTGCTCAGAGTTACAGTTGGTTTTTCTTCCTGTGTGACCCTGGAATCATTACTTACCTTTTCATACACTTCATCCTTTTGTGTAACAATAGCAGTGATCAATTCTGTCCTGGCAAGGCCTTTATGAGAACTGAATGAGATCACGTGGATGGTGTCAGCCAACTGTAGATGCTTAGTGGAGCTTGCAATCCTAAATTCCCTAGGGCTTCAAGTCCCTTGTCCTTCCTCAGTGAGCTGAGTTTCCTTAAACTTGCTGTCTGGAGTAGGTGGATGTTGCTAACCTGCTGCCTTCTCCTTCTCCTCTTCCTCCTCATCCTCTTCTTTTGCTTTTTCTAGACAGGGTTTCTCTGTGTAGCCCTAACTGTCCTAGAACTCACTATGTAGAACAGGCTGGCCTCGAACTTAGAGATCCATCTGCCTCTCCTCCCGAGCACTGGGATTAAAGATGTGTGCCACTACTGCCGGCTGAAAGCCCACTTTCTTAAATTGCATGGTTGTCCCAAAGTCTCCTGTTCTCTGATGGACCCCAAATGTCAGTCACAGTGACTTCCCCCTGAGCATGTATGATGTGCTCTCTATAGAGTTCACATGGGTCATCATAATGGCCAGGTAACTTATGTTTAAGTGGACAGGGACCCTGTGGTGTAGCTGTAGTCATGGTGTCCTTCCACAGGTATGCCAGTTGGACAGACTTGTGGTTTTTGGCTCTGTGTGGGTCCATAGTCCTGTGTGAGTGCCATTTGAGTGTCAGGGCATCTTCTGGGGATGATTTCAAATTCACTCATGAATCTTTTGTTTTGTTTTGTTTTGTTTTGTTTTGTTTTGTTTTTTTCAAGACAGGGTTTCTCTGTGGCTTTTGGAGGCTGTCCTGGAACTAGCTCTTGTAGACCAGGCTGGTCTCGAACTCACAGAGATCCACCTGCCTCTGCCTCCCGAGTGCTGGGATTAAAGGCGTGCGCCACCAACGCCCGGCTCACTCATGAATCTTAAAGGAGTGTGGATTACAGAAGTCAGGTGGGATGCCTGCCCTTGTCCCCATATTTGCTGAAGAGTCCAAGGACACTGCAATACCGGCTTCAAAAGAGCATATCTGGGGGCTGGAGAAATGGCTTCAGCAGTTAAGAGCACTGGCTGCTCTTTCAGAGGACCCAGGTTCAATTTCCAGCTTACAACTGTCTGTAACTCCTGTTCCAGGGGATCTGACACCCTCACACAGTTATCTATGCAGGCAAAACATCACTATACATAAAGTACAAATAAACAAATTATTTTTTAAAGCCTATATCTGAGACCAAGCCTCAGTTTCTCTTTAGGACAAAATGTTCAAGAAGGTGAACAGAGTATGAGGTCACTTAGCGTTTCCTCCTCTGGCTTTGCAGGGTCCAGAAGGCAGGTGGCAGTAAGCAGTCAAAGGGTGCCTCTAGTGTCTCGTTTGTGTACATGAGACAACTCTGTCCCAGGCAGCAATGGTGTCACCCATTTTCCAGTGTACCTAGCGAGGGCCAGACCTGGTACAACCCAGTAACAGCCAGGAGAAGCAAAGTCCTTCATTGTAGAGGAGACCTCAGCTCTTGGTCCTTAAGCTTGGGAAACGGAAGAAAGACATTAACAGGTGTGGGTAGTTGCTGTGGGGAAGTGGGCCATTTGTACTGCAAATGGAAGCCTAAAATGATACCACCATCCCAGTGAAAAGAGTGACTCCTCAGACAAGTGGAAATGTATCCTCACAAAACTGGGAGGCAAGCTGGGCATATTCTTAGCACTGGGGAGGTTGATGCAGGAGGATAGTGACTCTCAGGCCAGACTCAGCTACATAGCAAGACACTCCCTCAAATAAATAAATAAAAATGAAAACAAGGGAGCAAACAAAACATATATACAAGTGTTCATAGTGACAGTATTTGTAACAGCAAAAAAGGGGTGAACAATGTGGGTCTTTTAACAATGGGGAAACGATTGGTTTAAGGATATAAAACTGCAGTTGGACAAGAGGCATGGACTCTGTGAAGTCTTGAGGTCTACTGAGAGCATGATAAATATGGTTGATAACAATATGCTATATTTTAAAAGTTGTGAGATAGTATACTTTAAGTGTTCTCAAAACAAAAATGATGAATATGTGTGATATAACATGTTAATTGGCTTAATTTAGCCATGCCATTGTGAACATACTGTATTGTGTATCATAACTGTGCATGACTTTATTTATGAGCTAAATAAATGAATGGAAAAAAGGGGTGAACAACCCAGATGTGTAATAACAATGATAAATGCACGGTCCAGCCATATGATTATCTATTACTTAGTTATTAAAAAGGTAGGAGGTTCTGACATAGCAAGAGTGGACTTTGAGGAGATATGCCACTCATAAAAACACAGATACTTTATGAGCCTGTTTGTGGAAAATTTCTAGAACATAGCTAGAAGAGGAGAGGAAAGGAGGCAGGACTGATGGGTGTGGGGTGGTCCCTGGCAGGTCATGAAATGTCCTTTAGTTGAACTGTGTGCTGAGGAAGGTAAGCTTTACAGTGAATTATGTTGATAAACTGTAGGAAGTTTCTGAGATGCATACAGAAACAAAGTGTTTGTAAATAAGTAGTTCCGTTCGCAGAGGGGGCCTGGGCCAGCTTGTCTGCAGAGTCCCAGCTGTGCCAGCCAGTCTCTTCAATGTCTACCTTGTCCTGGATGCTCTGGTGCCTCTGGAGACTGAGGGTTGGTGGGTTCTGTTCCTAGTAGGCTCTGGGTATCAGCTGAATCCCACTGGAATCTGGACACACAGTGAACTTGTCACTTTCCTCTGTGTTACTGAAAGGGTTGGTGGCCACGTGGATTTTGTTATGAGGAAAAGGCACTGGCCTTTAGTAGACAGCCAGCCTTGGCACCACATTCCTCAGACAAACCTAGCACATCTACTAGGAATAGTTGAACTACATGTATGATTCCAGATTTTCTTTTAATAGTTCACTATGGTAGTTTGAGAAAAAAAATGACCCCCATTGGGAGGTGTGGCCTTGTCAGAGTAGGTATGGTCTTTTTCTTTCTTTCTTTCTTTCTTTCTTTCTTTCTTTCTTTTTTTTTTTTTTTTTTGGTTTTTCAAGACAGGGTTTCTCTATGTAGCTTTGGAGCCTATCCTGGCACTCACCCTGGAGACCAGGCTGGCCTCGAACTCACAGCAATCCGCCTGCCTCTGCCTCCTGAGTGCTGGGATTAAAGGCGTGCACCACCAATGCTCGGCTAAGAGTAGGTATGGTCTTGTGGAGGAAGTCTGTCACTGTGGAGGCAGGCTTTAAGGGTCTCATTTATGCTCAAATCAGACCTAGTAAGACAGTTCACTTTCTGTTCCCTGCAAGATGTAACTAGAACTCTCAGCTCCTTCTCCATCACCAGGTCTGCCCACACGACACCATGTCTCACCATGATGATAAAGGACTGAATCTGAACTGTAAGCCACCCCAATTAAATGTCTTGCTTCATAAGAGTTGCCATGGTCATGGTGTCTCTTCACAGCAATTGAAACCCTAAGACATACACTAAAAGAGAGAGAAATGAATGAAATTAATTTCTTTTTAATTGTATGTATATGTGAGTGTGTACACACAGGTGCAGGTGCTTGCAGAGGACACCAGATCTCCTGGTTGGAGTTATAAGTAGTTATGAGCCACTCAGTGTAGGTGCTGGGAACCAAACTCAGTTCCTCTGGAAAAGCAATTAACTGGGAAATCATCTTTCTAGGTCCAAAATTAATTTTAATTCCATGTTTTAACTCCAAATTAACCAAAATATTTCTACATGCAAATGACATAAGAAAGTCATCCATGTGCTCTATTATCCTGTCCTTGTCCTGGTGCAGAGAGAACAAAATGTGGGGCTTAATGACTCAGCCTTAAAGTCTTAAAGTCTTTCCTGGGGAGACAGGGCTTGGGGGGGAGGGGCACTGACACCAGTATTGCCTCATAACCCGCAACCTCTGGGGTCTAGTTGAGAGGACTCTGGGTAAGCAGGAAGATGGAGTCAGAGACTGTTCACTGGGCCCACTTTTTAGTTGTCACCCTACTGTCACACCAACTGAACCCAGAAATCTGGAGGGGCCCCTGAAGCCCACCCATCTGCCCCCTCTAGCCCTACCTGCCACATCTACCAACCTTCAGGCTGTGCTTGGAAGCTGAGCCAGCGCTTTGCTTCTCTCAGGACTGTGGGGCTCCCTGTTCCAGGGCTTGCCTTCAGCTGCTCACATCAGGGGAGAGAAAGGCCACCACTGTGCTATATGGTCAAAGGGTGCCCTCTGGCCTTGTCATCCTTATTGTATAACTTTGGAAGCTGGAAGCCAGTTGTTTTTGTTTGCTTGTTGTTATTGTTTGGTTTTGTGTTCAGGGTTTTAAGACAAGGTATTACTGTGTAACCTTGGTTGACCTAGAACTTTTTAATTTTAATATATAGAGTAGGCTGGCTCCTAATTCATAGAGATGTGCTTGCCTCTAACTCCTGAGTGCTGGAATTAAAGGTATGTACCACCATGCCTGGCTTTGGGTTCTGCATTTTTAGGGCAGCTAGGAGTAAGTAGACATCCTGAGTTCCCTGGTGTTGCCCCACCTTAAGAGGGGAGCGCCAAGAAATCACCCTGTATAGTTTGGTGTCTCCAGAAGTTCCCTGGGAAGAAACTGGTCTCTCTGCCCAGGTAGGAGTGAGGTCTTATGGGTTTAGAACCAGGTCTGAGCGTGCAGTGCCTCAACACCCAACTCCTCTGAGTAGGCATAGCCTGGGGCACTGGGCACTGTGCCTTTACCTCCTCTCTGAAGAGGAGAGAGAGCCAAGGTCCCTGAGGTCTCCTCTGTGCCACTCTTGTCTGCCAGGCTATGTAGCAAGTCCAGAGTCACTTGCAACCCTGGTGTTAGGGGCTGAGGGACCTGGAGATGATCTGGAATCAGATCCAAGCCCATGCCCACTGCAAGTCAGAATACAGAGGGAACTGGAAACTGTCTGGGAACAAGTCAGGCCTCTAGGCTCTGAACCAAGGGTCTCCCACATCTCACCCCATGGTCATGCTGCATGGCAGACCCAGCATGAGGACAGGAGGAACTCACCTTGTCTGCCCGTGATGCCTCCTAGCCTGATGCCTCTTCCTAAAAGAGTCAGCCCTGAGGGTTTAAAAGAGAAGAAACAGAGATACCAAGCAAGACACTGCTCTCAGTGAGCCCTGTGAAGCCAGACTCTGCTACAGATAGATGAACCGGGCCTTGCGTTGCTGTTCCCATGATCGGCTGTATGTTATCACAGTAGCTAGCTGAGGGCAGGGCTTGCCTGCTGTAGAGAAGGAATTGCCTGGGTGTGCAGACAGGAAGGTGCTCTGAGGCAACAGTAACTTTCAGCCAGCCAAGCCTAAAACAGTGTGATCCTGCCAAAGTAGAGTGATTGGGAGGAGACGCTGTGCTTGGCCAGCAGAGGGGCCCAGAGACCAGCATCTAATGGCCTTTGCGTAGAAAGACTGTGCTGTTAGTATGGGGCTGTGCTACTAGTAGTGAATTTTCTAGGGTGGCTTTAGAGTCCTCCAACCCATAAGAGACCTGGGGCTATGTCCCACTCCCCATCTGCCCAACACGATCTCTTGAGAGGACCCTGAGGGAAGTGCAGAGGATGGCCTTGGCTCTGGAACACTCAGGAAGTATAACCACACCAGATTAGGTTCTCCTGTACATAATTACACTGGCCCTTAGTCCTACCCTGACTGCAAGAAAAGTCTGTAGTGCTCTGCTGTTTTTTTATTTTTTTTAATAACCTTTTGTGTGTGTGCATATGAGGTTTTAGTGTGCACAGCAGACCTAGGCAGTAACTGTCCTGATTGCAGTAGGACAGAGCCTGAGATTCTGCAAAAGTTGACAAG